GGGGGGTACTTTAGGAATTTCTGGGTGGGGATGTGCCATTGGGACCCTGGAACCCTTAACCTATACCAGAGCTAGTTCAGCTGAATTTTGCTACCCTATACTAGAGTGAACTCCCCAAATACCCCCTATCCTAGAGTAGCTGTTTCCCTAGGCTAGATAAAATCTTCAACCAACTGATCAGTTTCCTGAAAAATGATACCCTATTCTAGACCCAAACGCTCTGATTTATATACCCTGTCCTAAAGTAAACTGCTTGAAAACCATACCCTTCACAGCGGCACATACCTATATAGCCCATATATGGCAGTCCCCCCCCCCCGCCAGGGTAAACATGTTCCTCCCCTTTTTAATAATGAATGGCTCACTCGGGTGCGTTGAGTCTATGAAGCACCATGAAGGTTAAAGCTTAAAGCTCATGTGATATATCTTCATTGTCATCCCAAAGAAGTTCTTTTTTGCATTAACTCCTCTTTAAGCGTTCAGAAGTCATTTAAGTTTGCCACAGTGGTTATCTGTCCTTCCCAACATGATCAATCCCAACAGCTTCTCCTATTGCATTGAAACCATCATTTCTGTAGAAGCAAACAATCCAAATAGAACAGTGTGAAACAATTGACAGATTTCTCTTGATTTCTATGTTTTAAGTGCTTGGCTCACCATCAAAAACCTGTATTTACAGGCAAATAGTACTCTATGTTAACTGGTGATGTCTTTCCTGACTTTGTGGCTAACTCACTTAAATATTGCAACTGCCGATGCAAGTTTATAGAGCTTAGAGGGAGACCGCTTCATGTATCCCACAAAAAAGATGTAAAATTTTAACTTCTGAAACTTTTTGTAAAACAGTGGAAATTGGCCTGAAACCTAGCTAGATCTTATCTGTAAACTGTTCAACAAATTTAATTTACATTTCCCTATTCCAGACTAAAACTTTCTCATATGAATACCACATCCAAGGCAGGGCTGTCACTGAGGGCAGGGGACCGGAGATTTCCCCCGGCTACTATGAGCATGACCTCCAGCTGTTTTTATAGGAAACAAAAGGAAAAGAGAGCTAAAAGAACTTTCCATCTGTTTTTAAAGTCAAATTCCCCGCCTACTAATTGCATATACTCAGCAACTCAAAATCTTAGTGACAGCCCTGCAAAGTTAACAAAACTGCTTGAAGGCCATCTTCCGAACAGTATAAAATACTTAATACAGGGCAATTTCTGAAAAAAAAAATGTCAACATCCCTGTGGCCTCAAGGACTACCACTACTGCCAAAATTAAGCTTGTGACTACAGAATTTATGGAGTCCTGGTAAAAGCTGTCCTCTTGCAACAACACAGGATTTTAGAACAAAAATATAGCAATATATTTTAACAGAAAAACATTCTAATCTGGAAGAAAGGACAATAGATCATTTTGTTGTCTCTATTTCTTTTAAACAAGCACATTACAGATCTACCATGAAACAACCTTAAGTAGTCTGACAAGAGTGGGTATTGACTTTGAGATGACAATGAGACCTCAATAATTGCTCAGAACCGCACCCATTATTTAATGAATACATATGTCTATCTTAATAAATATGTTTTTCTCACTTCAAAAGTTCAGCAAGTTCCCTCTTGATTTTCTTTACAATGGGAGGTCCTTCATAAGCAAGGGCTGTGTAGAGTTGTACTAAAGATGCTCCAGCCTTGATTTTGTCATAAGCATCCTGACCTGTTGATATTCCTCCAACACCAATGATAGGAACCTTACCTGAAACAAATCATATCCCTTAGCCATTTAGGTCCCAAGAGTTCACCAACATCAATTTTCTCCTAACAACATCAGCAAATCATCAAGAGTAAAAGGTTATGAGAATCACTAAATTGATTACAGAAGGGAGAATGCTTTGATTTTAAAGCAAATTCTCTCAACCATTCTTAAAAGAAATGTATGGAGATCAGTCTGGAGAATTTGTATGTGGATCTTGAGGCTTCAAGGGTTTAACTCTTGATTAATTAACCCTTCAATTCCTAAAAGTAACTGTTGCCAGAGTAAAAAATCACAGAATATTCCAAATCTTTCTTTCGCTAAATCCAAGGATTTAAAATAGTGCTATTCAAAAGTTCTACCAAAGAGGTTTCATTTGATTGTTACACCAAGGGGGATGAACAAAATAATAACAAATAAACTTTTAAGTAGCCTGCGAGCAAACTCTCTGGGGCAATCTGGCGGAGGGGCAGGTAAAGGAAGAAGAACTTGCAACTACATCTCTGAAATTTGAATATCTGCATTGAAAAAGTCGATGTGAAATGCTGATTGGCAGAGATGACATTACTCATGATGTCATTACCCTTGGCACATGTTTTTCATTGTTTGTTTACATTCACGCTTGTTTCCGCTTTGCGCTAATTGGCAGAAATCTGACAGCTCAGTAGATGGGGAGCCACAGGTGAATTGGAAGGTGATTCAAATTCCAAAGACATAGTTGCAAGCTCTCCTAATTCATTACGGACAGAAATAAATAGCGAGAAGATAGTGCTGAAAAACATAAGAAACAACTTTGAGGGCATAATGTCTCGTCAAATTAAGGCACCAATGATAATTATATTAATTATATCGCAGATAACATATACAGGCCAGGCCAGCTAGAAGACTAGACACTTAAATTAAGTTCATCATCACACACTGACACAAGAAAATAAAACCACTTATGAGGGGCAGCTGTTTTGTACAATGAATGTTAAAACTCTTACCATTAGTAAGTTTATACATGTCTCTAACTGTGCTTGTTGAAAGTTCTGTCAAAGGTTTTCCACTCAAACCACCTGTTTCCATCTTGTTTGTACTTTTTAAAGTCTCTGGTCTGGTGATAGTTGTGTTGGTCACTATGATACCATCTACACCACCCTGATGAACAAATGCAATCCAACTTTAATAAATTTTGACTTCTTCAAAATGTCAATCTTCATTAGGTCGCATAAAACCCTAATTACATGTTGGTACCAAAACCACCAAAGAATGCATTTTTCTATGATGGTATCTTAAGCTGAGCAAATTTGTAAATTTTTTTGTAGTTTCAGATGAAAGAAAGTACAAGACAAGTGGTAGTGCAACAAGATTTTTATTGGAATCTTGGGTCATGTTTACATGTTTTTCTCAGGCATTTATTTCTAGCCTGTTTGACTGAATCATGTTCATTTGAGTATAAAAGATTTTTAAACCACACCCGATTTGTCACTGATTACATTCAAGTAGTACAAGGTATGTGGTTCCATGTATATGGGTGGTTACTGAAGGTTCAGGGAATTGATCAAGGTTAAACAATATTTTTTTTACTCAAAGACTGAACTCTAAGGAATTCCCTACCTTGATGACTCTATGGTAAAGTAAACAAGCCAAACATGTAAACAAAGCCCCATATATATGCATTTGGTCAAGGTGGTTAGATATTGTCCATGTCTCTCTTTTTTGGCATTTTTATGGAACAAGAGTTCAAGGTAAATAGAAAAGCAAAAAAAAGAAGGATAAGTCCAGCCATCTTGACCAAACAAGCTTGAGTGATGGCTAAAAAGAGGGCTTTTTCTCATGGGACAAATGTGGGAAATCCCGAGTGGACAAGATTCAATTCAGTAGCCAATCAGAACATCATGAGGATGAACTTCACCTTTGGTGTTTGTGGATTAGCCATATAGACATAATAAAGCAAAGTATTTGATTATCATGTAGATCGTTTAGCAGCGAGGGGCATGTCAAAACTGCCGAGTAATAGCAGATTGCATAAGCTACATTTGTCTGGGTTTAGTAGAATATATTACCCAATGGCTAAAGAGTGTTTCCATAGCAAGTTGAGCAATGCATAATTTATAAGCCAAGATTGCTATGCTTATTAAAAAGGAGATAATTAAGGACAAACCTTATTTCTACTGACGACAGCTGCAATGTCTTCTTTATCATCTTCACTCAAATCTGGAGCTATCTTCACCAACAAGGGATTGCGCATATTGACAGGCAAAGTATCCCTTGCTTCTAATACCTGAAAGAAATTGGACACCAAGAAATCAATGATTACCACTACTGAAAGTTGATTTTGATAAATTCTGGCTCTTGCATAGTACAGGGCATATCTCAAGTTTGGCCCAAACATAAGGCACAGTAGCTCAATGGTTAGAGTATTCACCTGCAGTATTTATATGTACCTTATTCTCACTTAATTTTGTGAGTATTAGATTTCATGATTTGCGAAAAATCACAAAATTTAATACTCGCAAAATTGGCTCATGATTTTTCACAAAATTTACAGTCAAGCCAGGTCAAGCGTACCCCCCAAGATGCCATTAATGACTTTATTATTCGAAAGTTGAATCCGTTGGTAGTTGTAAATTTCAGTTCTGATCTCTGCATTGTTGCATGTATAATAAGCAGTGAATTCACATGCGCGAGGCAGTTATGGAATTTCTACCAACTCATTTCTACCAACTTCCCTGTATTAATGTAAATATCTTTGAAGTAATGTTATCCACTCAAAGATTTTCAGTCTGACCAAATACAGAGAAGTTCTCGTAAAATATTCACTGCTCATTACGCATGCAGGAATGCCGATGTGAATTTGACACCAGTTACGGGAACAACTAACGGATTCATTTTTTAAATTATTAATAGAATCTTGAGGGGTATACTTGACCTGCTGTGACTGCAATACTCGCGACATTAAGTGAGAATAAGCATCACGGCATGATTTCCATTACAGCATCAAAATATTTTTTATCAACAACTAGGACATAATACGCACAACATCTGCATGTCTTATGCTGGCGTAGAACTGTAAAATTCACAACTTGGGTTAATGCTGGAGGCAAGACAATTTTAGCAGGGTTTGTTTTTTTTCTTGGCGGGGAGGGCTGGATTTAAGTAGGGAATCTTTTTCAAAGTGAAACTTCAAGTTTCACAACAGCCATTGTTATTGAAACAATATATCCATAAATGTAAAGCAGGGTTCTCAAAAGTAGCCCACTGCCAGCGAAAATTGCCACCTACTTGGTTAGTGTTGGCCAGCTACTCTGCTTGACATTTCTTTGTGGATGACCTTTTTTAAATAAAATATCCCTGGACGGGCTGCTTACTTTGACAACTAAACCGTCCACTTCAAAACTTTCTGACAAGCCTGGTAAAGTATAATGCTTCCCGTTATTTTGGACTTACTTTTGGCCAAAATGATTTTTTACCGCTTGTCTCTTCTATGGATTTTCAATTTTTGTTCCCATCACTTCAGATCTACAGTATACTTCCTGGGATCTTAATCTCCTAATTTACTAGTACATTTTTTTCTCCTAACCTTATCTATTAAGTTTGCTAGTTGCTCTCTTCCCTGCAATGACCTCAGTCCAGGCGTATTGGGTGATGAAACATTAACCACCAAATAATCCCCCAAACCACTGAAACATTGGACTCCTTTGACATAATCTCCCACAGCATTGTCCGATGTCTTGTTTTTACCAAGGTTAATTCCAAGGATCCCGGGGGGATGTCCCCGGACAAGAAACTGCTGCTCCAGTCTTGTCTGAACAGCGTGATGCCCATGGCTGTTGAAACCATACCTACCAAATAGACAAGATAACATTTAGGGGCACCCAATGAGAATATAGTTCAAAACCACTTAAACATAGCATTGTTGAACGTATTTTAGTATTTAAACGGTAAATATAGGCATATTTTTATCCCCTAAAAATGTTTCATCTGTTCGGATTTCCTGGCTGAAAGTCTTGTGATCCGAAAATTATAGGGATCAAAACTTACCTTTTCGAAAATTTCAGCCAGAAAAAAGGCTGTGGAAAATTCTAGGTGACCTTTTTAGGGAAAAAATCCATTAAAAATGGGCAATTATACCATTTTTTAGATGTTCAAAAATCCTAGGAGAGGCAGGCAAGCAAGAAATTTTACCACAAATGTTCCGAAAATTCTAGATATCAAAATTAATCGTCTTCCAATATTTTCCAAAAATTGGCGTTGGGTGCCCCTGAACATTGTTATCGTTTAGTCTATTATTTAGTTTCATAAGGGCTGTGGTGTTTAACACTAACTGTTTTGACCTTCTGATATGGTGTATGCTCCTTATAAAGCAGCTTAAATTTTGTTTTATCACGTAACCATCCAGTGCTTTAGAGCACATCCCAGGTCATCTGCAAAGGTCATCTTTGCAAGTTTCCATACGAGAAACACATCTTGGACAACCTCTCAAAGCTTGATGGTAGGAAAGAAAGGGGGGAAAAGGCCATGTAAAAGGGGAAAGGAAAAAAACATGACCCTACGATTGTGTGTGTAGTGTGACAGGGAGTCAGCAATGCCGCCAGATCATGAAACTCTATGCCCTTTCTAGCTAATAGAGGCAGTGTGTCCTAGCAGTTAGAGTGCTAGACAAGTAAAACAAATTTCTGAAAATTAATTTTTGTTTAAACACTTGTTCACCTATTAATCACAGCTTTGTCCTCCATAAGTCTGAAGACCCTTGGCTTGTCATTCCCAGGTTGTGGCAATGGAGTTACACTTCCTATTTCAACAAAACCAAATCCAGCTTTTAATAGTCCGTCAACTGCTTCTCCATGTTTGTCAAAACCTGCTGCTAAGCCAATGGGATTGCAAAAATGAAGACCAAAAACATTGGTTTGCTAGACAAGACAAAACAAGATCATAATAACTTTTTATTATGTTTTCACAACATGTGCACAAAAATTAAGTAAAATAGAAACATACTAAAGATATCATTATTTATCAGTTTGCTTTATTATAGAGAAAATATAAAGAAGAAGTGAGATAGAAGAGACATTTGCTTTCGTGGAGTGGTCATCGTGACATTATATTGTATAATCCAGCATTGCAATATCAGCATGAAAATGAAAACAATCATAATCACAAATAGTCTTTAATTGGAATTGAATTATCTCAGATGAACATTTTTGTTTAATATTTTGGTACAAAGGAGTATACTAATCTGTTTAGATCTCACCACTTGGCATCAAGAATTTTAAATTCTTGGTAAGAGAAGCCCTTGTATTTAAACAAAGTCCTTTTTAAATGAAAACTAAATATTGTAAAATTATTATTCTTGTGAAAGTTGTCTTCAAGAAAAAATTGAGTTTCTGAACAAACTACTGAAGGTTTACCAGTATTTTAGGGTCTCCATCCACATCAACAGGAATCAAGCCTTTACTGGCTAACCAGATAGCAAATGTATGGGCTTGTTCAGCACCAAGAACTCTCATAACCGAAGGCATGATGAAAGATTTGTAAAATTGTTCATCCCCAGTGATAGTGAAATAGCTGGTAAACATGAGACCAGTACAACCAACCACACCCAAGGCATGACTTATCAGCTTTCTTGTTACTCGTTGTTTAAATGTTGAATTTGACTGCAACATCAAATAAGTGAGATATTTTCAGTGGCTATGGACAAAATGGTATAACCAGGAGTAAAAAACTCCAACACTAATCAAGGATTAAAATTGCAGCTGCACAGGTGTGACTGAAGACTCTAACTTTAACACTAACCCTAATACTCATACCTTCAGTCACACCTGAACATGCAAATTAAAATGGAAATTGGTGTCTTAAAAAATCACGCAGAACTGGAGGTGAATATTGCCACTCGATTTAAGCCCTGACGGGTGGAGTTAGGAACTGAACAGGTGACCAGCTGCCAATATCTTATCACAAACACTCCCATTTCTTTCTTTCTCATTTTGTTTCATTGTCCTTTTATACAGTCATTTCTCTCATAACCATTTCTCGTAAGTAATCACCTCCCATAAGCGACCACTTTGAACAAATACTGCTTCAAAAAGTCTCTTGTAGGCAACCACTACTTAAATTTCTTAAATGACCACAACCTCTTCTTGGGGCAAAAATTTGAGGTATTCTTCTTTTTTTTCCCCATAGATGATAACCTCCTATAAGTGACCACTTTGTCGTGAACCATGGGTAGTCGATTACTAGAGAGTTGACTGTACTGAAATGCATATAGGAAAGCATGTTTAGCATTATTTTGGTGGTGAATGGAAAACAAATGGCAAGTTCACATACAAATTCAACAGGTACAATGAGCTGTAAATCACCAAGGTGCTGAGCAGACACAACTCTTGAATCCCTTGGTGGGGAAAGAACCAAGTCATAGGTAAATGGCTCAAGTATAAAAAAGATGGATTTCAGGAAAATACCAAAAAGCTCTTTGATTAACACACATAGCAGTCAGAAGCAAACTTATCTGTGAGAGGTAATGCCTGAGGAAGCAGCATCACACTAAGAATTTTTCCATGTGAATTCTACCTCCTTGAAGACCCCCACATCTACCCATTAAACATTACTGATGTGAAAAAATCAATCAATCCCACTAGCAGTCTACTATGATTCATAAAATGCATGAATTCTAGCTTTCGTTACTTTTAAGATTCCCCAAAAGTAACGACAGCCTGGATTCTCAGCTGAATGCTGAGAATGCTGCTTGCCTGCATTACACAGTCAGCGCTAGCTTTTCTTTGCAAACAGTTCATGCTGGGAAATTTCCTCCACTCAAGCCCGGAACTCAAGGCAGGGAATTNACTGATGTGAAAAAATCAATCAATCCCACTAGCAGTCTACTATGATTCATAAAATGCATGAATTCTAGCTTTCGTTACTTTTAAGATTCCCCAAAAGTAACGACAGCCTGGATTCTCAGCTGAATGCTGAGAATGCTGCTTGCCTGCATTACACAGTCAGCGCTAGCTTTTCTTTGCAAACAGTTCATGCTGGGAAATTTCCTCCACTCAAGCCCGGAACTCAAGGCAGGGAATTGCGGAAAAGTAGCTCATGCTTATTTGCATATATTTGCTTATATGCGTCGTCTTTTTCTAACACTCAATTAAGCTTAATTTTCCACTATCCCGCACTCGCAGATTTTGCTGCAGCAACAGGTTTGTCAACGAAGAAAAACTCACCATCTCGCAAAACTTTTATGCAACTTATAGCTCGTGGATTCTGCAAAAAATTGGAGAAGTTCGAAAGAAGTTTTCAACGGATGTTTTCAATTAGTGTTAGAGCTTCGCGATGAAATGACCCTCTTGAAAAAATCCGCCATTTTGGAAACTTTGAAGTCCCAGTCCCTACTCTCCCAAGCAGAACTACCATAAGCCCCTCCATGTATAAGCCCCTTCAAATATAAGCCCACCAAACTCGTAACGCAAAAAACCCTCCGTTAAATCGCCCCTCCAGATATAACCCCCGGGGCCTTGTACTAGGAAATTGCTCTCAAATACAAAGTAAAACAAAGAAAAACGGTAAATTTCCTACCAAGAATAAGGTTAGTCCAATCGATTTTTATAACGTAAATTTCCCTCCGTACATAAGCCCCTCCGAATATAAGCCCCTCCAAAAAACGGCCTTTGAAAAATATAAGCCCCGGGGCTTATTTTCTGAATTTTACGGTATTTTAACGCCCAGCAGGGCCGAAGGGCCGGGTTGTTCAAAGCTGGGTTAGATAACCCGTGGATAGTGCGAAATTTGAATTCAGATATGAAAGCTTAAAAAGTAAATTCAGTTTAATTCTTTCTGTCAGCAAGTTGATGATTGGATGCTCTTAAAAATAACAGAGAAAATTATCCAAGAAAATGCTTTTGAACAAAAGAAAAAGAAATCGGGGTTAAATTTAACCCTATAGCTAGGTTAAGCGCTTATCGGCCTTCGAACGACTGGATTTTTCCACCCACCGTGAGAAATTGTGGAAACCCTATAATTGCTCACTCTTATCGCGTGCCTGATAAAAGACCCTAATTAAGATTTGCACCCTATTTAATTTCTCCCTCTCTCCGATCGACTTCTAAGCAGATTATTTACAAATCCACTCTTATGACAACGAACCGTTGGAGAAATTTGCGGCCTTACCAAAATCTCTCGTCCTTCTGGTATGATCAGTTATCTGTCCATCACAGGATCTGGATCCTTGCAGGTCACTTCACTGCTTGTTGTCCATCCTGGGCGCAACAGCACTTTAGAGCCCGTTCTGGCAAAAGTTTATTTAAATACGGCCGAACTGCCAAATAAACCTACATTTGGCAACAGATAAAGCCAAATAAAGAGAAAGCTTATTAAAATTTCATTTTTCTTCAAATTTTGTTTTGTTTTGTTGTTTTTTCGTTCTAGTTTTTAATTTCTGTTTTTTGTATTTTTTTTTAGTTGTTTTATCTATTATTTTTTTGCTTTTTTGTCCTTTTAGACCGGAACAAAAAGATGAAATAAAACAGATGGGTGTTTTATTCCTCAGGTTTTGAGTCTGCAGCAGGAATGGCGTCGCAGCCAGGAATGAGATAAATCAAGACGGGATAAACCTGTTAAGTTTGCTTTTCTGCAAAGAAAAAATATATAACATTATTTAAAACGTCATCTTTAAAAAAAAACGATGATAAGAGAGCTGGTTTTCTGCAACTGTAGTCGCAGCCTGTTAAATTTGCCACGCTGATTAAACCCTTTTTCAGTCCGATAAGGCAGCATTTTAGGGGCTAAGGGCTAGAACATGCCCTTTTTCGGTCACGAAGTCTTTATAAAAAGGCTATCCGTATGCAGAATGAGGGATCTATGGAAACCTCAAATAAAACTCAGAAGAGTATCTGTAATTTCTGAATAAACTCACCAGGTCCTTAGGTGTTTTAACTCCGGTTGGCCTGTCTTCTTTTAAATAGTTAAAACTTCCTTTTTACCCTCGCAGACTACAGGTTGACAGTTGTTCACTAAGGAGAGAAGGCACTCAATCTTCCCATTTTGGTTCTTTACTTTGTCTCTCGTATTCCTCCTTACTTCATCACCTGAGATTCAAACATCTTGTCGAGGGAGGCGATGTTAACTCTGACTGATTCGGTGACTTAAACAGTGGTTAAACGCTCAATCTGTGTTGTCAGAGTTGCTTGGCCAGCTCCTTTTATTTTGTTTTTTTTAGTAACCCACTCGGGGCTACAAATGGCGGGAAATGGTGGGTGGTCGCCAGGTCCGGCTTGCACATCACTATGGGAAACTTGAACCACGGGGCAAATGTTGGCATTAGTAATGAACAGGAACTCAATGGAGTTGTTCGGCTGTCCTCGGGAGGAAGGCCTTAGGTAAGCTGTCATGGGAGAGATGATGTTATAAATTCTCACTGACTCGGGGACAGAAGCGTCTGAAATAAACACTCCGCGCTATCAGAGTTTTCTTCGGGAATCCGTTTCCTTTTTAGCGGAAGGTATTTTGTTGGTGTCCATGACTCTTTCCGAAGACGTCGTGAATTGGTGTCATCTCGTTACTATCAATCTTTTATCAATCTTTATGATAGTCGCTCCTCCAGATGATGGCCTGCCAGATCACTGGAAATGACTCAGCAGATCATAGTATCCCCGGTAATAATATGACAGATATTGATACATACTCCTGCCAAGGCTGTGCCCAAATCGAGCTCCTGTTTGGTTTGATCTAGTTCCTGTTCTTTCTGTACCAGCTCCTGGGTCTTCTCCCGGGGGTCTTCTCTTCAAGCTTCCCCGTCAGTGAGGTGCAGTGGGCTTTTATTTTAGGATGTTTTTCTTTGTGCCCGTTCAACTCGCGAACAACATTTCTGTGCCTTCGTTTGATGTCTTCTTCCAATACCTTCAGCCTTTGTAACTTTTTTTTTTAATTGTGTTCTTTTAACTTTGCCGACCATTCTAGATCGGTGAGATTCTTCATTGAGATTTTTCTCATAGTTCCTCTTGTCGTATTTTGTTATCCTCTTCCAGCCACTGTCGCTCTAAACGCGGGTTATAAATCATTGTAGCTTGTTTTTTGGGGGCTATGAATGTATGATAGCATTTTGTTGGTTTAAAGTTGCCAACAGCTTCTCATAACTGTACATATAATACATTTGCGCCTCCATCAAAAAGTCGTCGGAATCTGCACAAAAAAAATTGTACAATTTTTAGCCAACAAAAACAAAAAAGTTTCTCTTGAGGAGAAAGCATAATAAGATCTTACAGTCAAACCAGGTGAAGCGTTCCCGTCGCTAACGAACTAATAAATTCATGAACGGAAAAATGATTTCGTTTATCGATTCAATAATCCATTCATAAAATGAACAATCCAATATTCATATTTAGCCTCGATTCCATAATCGAATGTTGATTCGATAACTGTTTTTTGAAAAACTACACTTTTTTTTCTCCTTTTTTCTAAGAATCGAGTTCGGGCGAGTTCTGAATTTCAAACTCAAACAAACTGTTACATGTACGTCATTTTGTTTCCAGTAATCACTGCAACGGACCTGACCTCTTAGGAAACACGATAGTGAAACTAAGGTCAGTGTATGTGAGGTGATTGGTGGATTTCGATCCCCGGCCTTTGTCAGTTTCTTTGCGTTTGCGGTCTGTCTCTTCTAGCTGTTATTTGGATTAAAGGCAATTACAAACGCAATCGTAAACGGCAGGAAAAGGGAAGCAAATACGATTGAGCTCAATAGACAAGAATAAAGAACAGGTAGATTTTGTTCATAAACCAAATCAACATTTAATTATTGAATCGAGGTCCAATTTGACAGTTGGATTATTCATTTTATGGATGGATTATTGAATCAACAAACGAAATCATTTTTTCATTAATGAATTCATAAGTTTGCTAGTGACGGGAACGCTTGACCTGGTTTGACTGTAATTGCCAACAAGAAAATGCTTTAGAAAAGACTGAAAGGAGAATGCTTTGATTGCATAAAAAATCAGTCACAAATATCTCGCCAACGCCTCTTTTCTTCTGTCAAGATAAATTTTAGTGATGTCATAAACAGTTGTCAAATTTCTTTTGCGCGCGCAGACTCTTCTGGAGCTGCGATACTTGCAGTCAGCACAAGGGCACTTTAATCCTTGTTTAGAAAACCCGAGAGCGAGACAGTCTGCGAGCGAGCGGGAAAGACGCCATCCACATGCCAATCGAGCTAGCTTCTCAGGATACTCCACAAATGGTCGTGAAATAGAGAGCTTGCCTTCCGCTTCGGTAGACCGTCCATAACACCAGTTATGCGTTTTACCAGAGCCGTAAAAGAGCCAAACATAAAAAAACTCGTCAGACGTCACAAAGGGAAATTTTTAACAGAAAGCCTGGGTAAAAAAGTGAAACCAAACAACATTTTCTTCTCAATTATGTTTCATATTTAAACTGTTCAGACTTTTTTGTGCCTTGTTCGAGGCCAATGTATCCTACATTAGTAAAATCCAACTAGTGGTCTATTAACAATGCTGCGTTCTGATTGGTTGAGCTACTACTAGGTTATATGTTATAGCCCACTAGTAGCGAAAAGCGCCGGCTTTTTTGCAGCAAGAAAGGATTTAAGTCTAGCTTTAACTAGCTAAAGTTGTTTTGTCCTGTTATTTTTGACCAACTAGTTGGATTTTACTAAAACAATTATTCCTCTCGCCCTCGTGGCCTCTGAGTCAGTAGCCCATGCAATTGACTCAGAGCCCATTCTGGCTCGAGGAATAATTGTTAAATGTCTACTGGGTGAAGAACTCTTTCACTTCCCAAGCCACTAAAATCTGGAACTCACTTGAACCCGATGTAAGGAAAGGAAACCTATCCAAGTTTGCAAAGTCAATTAAGAATCACTTTAATTCCATTTTTAATCTTGTATATTAGAATCAGCTTTTATCTATTCCATTCTTATTCACGGTATTTTTTAGTCCTTTTAATCCTTATATAGTGACATTTCCAGATGTACATTTTAGTTGTTTTTTTTTTATGAAAAATCTACTTGTTTTATACATAAATATATTTTTAATTCTCTATATTTTAAGGCTATTTTAAGTGTGCACGTACTCATTTTGAACGAGCTTTTTAGCTCAGTAGACGCTACGTGGGTAAATAAACGTTAGTGGCTGATTGCAAGCAAGTTGCTTTTTTTAGAATCGCACGCTAGAGGTGTAGGTTACCATGACGTCATTTGCCAAAGATGACGTCATTGACAACACTACCTTGAGAAAGCGTTAGAATTTTTCTGTTCTTCAAATAAGGGGAACTTTGGACGCTCATTTGGTATCAAGATTTAATTCTTCATATTTCATAATCTATTTTGAATTTTTTAGCTGGCTTATATTCCTTCTTGTGTACATCTTACAACCACGTTACTAGGCCTTCCTTGGGGGCTAGCCTGAGGAGAAAGATTTTCCCAGAAACGCCTGATACTTAGGCTACCAGGTTTCAAGTTCCGGTACCATCAATTAGCAGGGGCACCCAATGACCGTGTTTTTTGCAAAATATCTGTTCGGAGAAGGAGATATTGCCTAGAATTTTTTATTACTTGAGGACGGCTAAAAATTTCTAAATAACCGTTCCATTCATGTACAATTTCGAAGCTTATCTAATAAACGCCCTACGATTTTCTTTAGTTTATTTTTTCACATTTCACTCCCCTAGTTAGGCTATTTTTCGTAGGAAAAAAGGAAACCTGAAATTTTCGGATTCAATTCAATTTTCGGGGAGAGAAATCAGATGCAATTTTTCTAAAATTTAAAAAAAAAAAATGAAAACTACAACTAAAGCCCTTGTAATTTCGAAAACACTCAAGTTACCCTAGGATGACCGAACAGATACAGATTTTATAGCGCCACTTAGAATGCATTTCTAGAGCTCCAAAAGTACTCTGGATAGCCTTTAAAGTGTTTTTAATGTATTTAGGAGGAAACCGTCTTTGGGTGCCCCTGAATTAGGTTGTATAATCTGTCTCAATACTTCATGCACGAATGCTTTTTCAGTTGAAAGGAAACTAATTTCTGGTCTCGATGGTGTTTGCAATAACTGAAGTTGAAAGGCAATTTTGTGACAATGATCCCCATTTACCCGAAGAGAGTTAACAATACATTGTGTGTGAGCAATAGGCACCCGTACCCTCACATGGACCAGGCTGACCGCAGTACTATTAATACATGCAACAAAAACTAACTTTGTGATTATATGGCAACCCAGCCACTCGGGTTAGCTGGAATGGCATATAAAAGTTGGCAAAATGGACCAGCTAAGCCCCTCAGGCGTCGGTTTTCAAAGCAAATCTCAGCCCCAGCTGTTATTTTATTTCCACCTACATGGTGAATTTCAGCCCAGGTGGAATGCTAAAATAAGGTGGAAAAATTGGCTGGAAAAATTTTTACAAATTATTTCAAAACTCAAAATACAATAACAAAAATGCAACACTACAAAATAAAATTTTCCTATTTCAAGGCCCTACCAGTAGCTACCCCACCGTCGGAGACCCAGGGGCAATCAGACTACCCCTGGCAGTGGTGGATCCAAGGGACGCCCCCCCCCCCATTATTTTTAGACCAAACTGAGACCCAAAGGGCAGAACAACTTTTGTTTGGAGACTGCCACCTCCCCCCCTTATCTCAAGGTCTGGATCCGGCACTGCCTGGATCACTGAGGATGATAACTACCATACCATAGCTATACTCTCCAGACAACTCTTTCCAGAAAACACTGGAACCAACGCTGAGCGTGTGTTTTAACAGAGGTGACCACCTTGCAGAGAGTAATATCAAGTAAAAATGACCAAAGATCAACAAGGTCTGACTTGACCTGTCCATTTACGGCAGGGGTCTATCATCCAAGAGAGATGATGGAAAACCTATAGTTCTACTTTCTATTTTTTTTCTTTTTTACTCCAAGTAAAGAAATCAACCCCTTGCACTTCCGGAGGTAGGTATGTTTGATCAACGGGTCCATCAAATGCAGGATTGTACTTGTAGCCAGCACCATAACCTAGACCTTTCATGANTCCAAGAGAGATGATGGAAAACCTATAGTTCTACTTTCTATTTTTTTTCTTTTTTACTCCAAGTAAAGAAATCAACCCCTTGCACTTCCGGAGGTAGGTATGTTTGATCAACGGGTCCATCAAATGCAGGATTGTACTTGTAGCCAGCACCATAACCTAGACCTTTCATGAGTTTGGTTGGTGCATTTCTAATATGTAATGGAACTGATGGTTGAGGGCCTTCCCAGCCATTCACAAGCTTTTTAGCTTCACTATACGCATTGTATACTTCAATAGACTTGCAAGCTCTGGCGAGGTACAGAACAGCTTGGGCAAGAATCACCTGTGAAGAGAACAGAAAATATTTATAAATACAGGAAACTTCTTTCTCCAAATCCCAGCCTTTCAATGTTTCAGGTTGCCCTACCTATTATAGGGTTCGTACAGATTTTTAGATCTGAAATTCAAGACTTTTTCCAAAACAATAGTATATTTTTTCACACTCAAGGTTACCAAATAGGTGGTCAATAGAGACCTTGAAAAATGCAGGAACCAACCTTTTTTCAAGATGCACTTCAAACGTCAGATAACCACGGTACAATGCGGATATATGAGAGTTATGTGCGATTAAATGTCTTGGCTAGGGGTCAGATTGAATGGGATTTGACAATGAGAAAAAAAATTCACTTATTAAGTACTTGTTGTAGCTTTGAAAAAAACTCCAGACTACCAGTCTATTTTCCAGACTTTTCCAAAAATACAAAAGTTTCAAAAGTGCAAAACGAACCCTGTCATTATCTTTGCTTACAAAAGTGATTGCTTGGGAACCACTTCTTCTTATGTTTTGTTAATATCATTTTGAAAATGCACCTTATTATATTCAACCCCCTTTAGGAGCCACACAGACTGCATCATCAGGACACATTGACCTATATTAACCAATACTAGCCCCACATATTAATAATGTATTTAACATCATGTGAGGAGACCTCTTGACCATGAGCCTGGCAGTTTCTGGGGGCCTCTATGCCATTCCTCTTATATCTCATTTGTGTAAAACGTTCCCTTTTTTTCCTTTTTTTTCATTGTAAATTCATCTGCAGGATATAAAATCGTATTGTATTCCAACTGCAAATGTCATATTCCTTCCTTTTGGTTAAAATAAATAAATAGATGAATAAATAAATACAGTTAATAGAAGACCGTAGCAACCAAGGAAAAACTTTGTGAAGTACTTACATCACACTCTGGCATTCCAATAAAATGACAAGCCTGGTAAGCAGCCACAGTCTGGTTCAAGGCCTGTGGATCAGCCAAACCTGCACAAAACAAAACAACTACAGTTGAACCTTCATTAAGAGGCCACCCTCTGGGTACTGGCAAGTGGTCGCTTAATGGAGGTTGGCCGCTTAAGAGAGGTTAGTCATTAATTAGCATAATCTTTAGCAGCAAAACCAAACACAAAAACAACAGCAGCATTACTGCTCAGTAATCACCTTCTATCTAAGACTATATTTTCCTTGAAAAAATAGTACTTTTCTTGAAATAAAGCCAAACTAAGAATATCAAGCACTTGACAGCTGCTGTTAATCAATGCACTAACAGTCATTCCCAAAGAAACACAGAATGACCTGTTGAGAACTGTGATCGATTTGCCCAAAAGTCGATAAGACTTCTGCCGCATTCATCACTACTGATTTTCACAATCCTCTTTCAAGTAAAAGTTAAACATTAGACGGACCAACTGTTAGATCATAAGAGTAATCCATTAGAGTGTTGAAATCATTAAAGCGTTTAGACTAATCGTTAGAGGGTTTGGAGAAACCATTACAGCATTTGGGCAAAATGTTAGAACATTAGAAAAACCGTTAGCTATCCGTTAGTTTTGTGAAGGATAACGGACTATCATTAGTGTACATTTAGTGTACAAAGAAGAATATTTTACGAGGAGACATAAAACAGTTTAAAGAACTTGTCAATGACTAGGTGCTTTTTGTGCAAATTTAATTAAAAAATTCAGCTGCTTCCTAAAGCTGGCATAGAATGAAACTGTTGAATGGAATATTTAAGTCTTTCACATTATTTTTGTAGCTGCATATTAGATTTTAGATGCTAGGGAACTGTTAGGGTGCAACGAAAGGTCAATGGCTCACCAAATGCCAATTGGCAAACAACTTTTGTAATCCTCTGTATTAAAACTAGTGTACTTTTAATGAGGGAATCAAAATTGTATCATGTGTCTTATAGAGGGCGCTGACTGACATCTTGTTTAACTGTTGGTCACCAAATAACGGCCACTAATTGTCTGTGGATATATTGGCTGAGTGGCATAATACTATCCGTCGAGTATAAGTTGAGTGTCTGCCAACAGATCAACCAACAGCTGGTCGCGATAGCATTAGTAGAGTATCAGTGAACCATCGGTCAAGTATCAGTAAGGTATCAGTGGTGTATCAGTCTACAATCCGCAGCCCCTGTACCAGATTGATCAGTTACCAAATCGTGGGTTATTTTCATGTATCTGCCGACATCTTGGTTGTCTGCCAGTCAACATATCAGTCGAGTGTCGGTGTAGTGTTAGACGAGAGTCAGTGGAGAGACGGTTGATATGTCGACTGACATGTTGAACAACAGTCGACTGGGGTATCAGCCGTTACATTGACCAAGTGTCAGTGATATGTCAGTGATCGATCAACAAAGTAACAACCAACTATTGACCAATAGACTGTAGCAGCTGACTACCATTCGAGTCTCCTTCAATCTCGACTGAGACTCGCCAAATATAGCAACCGATATGTTGACCAACAGTCAACTGAGATGTCGATTGATACATCAGTCGATACTCCTTATAAGAAACATAATCCTCTAGTTCTATTATCAATGAAACAAGAAAACACTTGCCAATATCTTCACTTGCACATCTCACCAGTCTTCGAGCAACATATAATGGATCTTCACCTCCAACAAGCATTCTTGCCAGCCAATACAATGCAGCATTTTCATCACCCCCTCTTATTGACTTGTGCATTGCAGAAATAATATTGTAATGTTCTTCACCATTTCTGTCATAAAGCAGATGAGTTCTTTGGAGTCCCTCTTTGATGTGAGAAACATTGACAAAAACAGTTTCCTTTTCACTGGAATCATGAGTATCATTAGCACCATATGATGGTAGAGTTCCATTTTTGAAGCATTCTCCATTTTGATGGAGTGGTAACGACATACTGTTGGATGAATTAGTATTGTTCTGTGCCTTATGTTTTACAGCAGACACTTGTGACTGCACTGCAAGCTGGAGGCCATTTAATGCAATCCTGGCATCACCATCACAGAGGTTTGCTAAGGTTTTAATAGCTTCTTCTTCTACTACTACATGATAGTCACTAACAAAAGAATCACACAACAAATTAGCAATTTCACATTGTAAATTTCAACAACAGTTTATTCAATTTGAAAATTATTTACAGTTATGTTGCCCACAATAATTTAGTGGAGCTATTCTCAGTGGGTAACAATACAAGAGTCTGATTAAATTGTCTGTCCTTACTCCATTCAATGGTACTGCCTGGGATACTATTTGGATGAATGAGAACCTGTGCTGCCGTAAACAAGAGCCATCACAGGGCTTTACCGCTGGCATGCCTACGAAGTTGAACCCAAGTCAAATTTGCAGGAATGGCAGTGATTAAGACTGAGATAACCAATATTGTGGGCCACTTCTGTTCTCATATCAGAACCGCATCCCAGGAAGTTCCAGTGGCCATGTCGCAGGTAGGTTGGCAGCATATGAGAACCAGGCTTTACCAATTTTAGAAAAACTCAATACCAAAGCTTTCAGATGTTTCAAACTCCTCACCTGTACTCAGATAAGACATGTACGCGGTTGGTGTCCAAGGAATCCCTCTTGGTAGTGAACACTCCCAGGCTATCAAGAGCATGTTTTAGGATTTGCTCCACATGTTCAGTTGAAAGCTTTTCAAGGACTATGACTCGACAGCGACTGAGCAGGGCATTGTTGAGCTGAAATGACGGGTTCTCTGTTGTTGCTCCTATTAAGGTTATTGTACCATTTTCAACATGTGGAAGGAATGTATCCTGTGGAGAGCAAGTTTGCATTTAAAATGATAAAATGCC